TTCAGGCACAGCTGACCAGCATTCACATTAAAACAGATCTTAAGACTGACAAGGTAGATTCTTTGTAGCAATAAGACACCAAATTCCAGGCTGACTCTGGTATAACATCACATGACAGATAGCAGGCCCTGAAAGAAATTGAAGAATTTTACTCCAAATTAGATTTCCGTGACTGCCAGGCATGGTGGCTCACACCTGTAATCCCAGCACTTTGAGAGATTGAAGCGGGCAGATCACCTGAGGTCAGGAGTTTGAGACCAGCCTGACCAACATGGGGAAACCCTGTTTCTACTAAAAATACAAAAAAAAAAAAAAAATTAGCCCACATGGTGGCATGCACCTGTAACCCCAGTTACTAGGGAGGCTGAGGCAGGAGAATTGCTTGAACCCAGGAGACAGAGGTTACAGTAATCTGAGATTGCACCACTGCACTCCAGACTGGGTGACAGAGCAAGACTCTGTCTCAAAACAAAACAAAACAAAAAATTAGATTTCCCTGACCCATTTTTAAATGCCTCTGCAAAGCTGTCCCTTGTGGGGAAAATCTACATTCTGTAGAGAATCCCCATTCCTTTCCAATTATCTTCCCTGATCCAGGAGAGAAATAACTTAAGAGTCTGGCACCTATTTTTGGTCTGATAAGACCTCTGAAGCCTGCTACTTGGCCTTCACAACCCCTTATCTTAATCAAGACATTTCTTTTTAATGATTCCAGGTCCTTTTTTTTTTTTTTTTTTGAGATGGAGTCTCGCTTTGTCGCCCAGGCTGGAGTGCAGTGGTGCAATCTCGGCTTACTGCAACCTCTGCCTCTCGGGTTCAAATGATTTTCCTGCCTCAGCCTCCCGGAGTTGCTGGAATTACACGCATGCATCACCAAGCCCAGCTAATTTTTTTTGTATTTTTAGTAGAGACAGGGTTTCACCATATTTGTCAGGCTGGTCTCAAACTCCTGACCTCAGGTGATCTGCCTGCCTCAGCTTCCCAAAGTGCTGGGATTACAGGTGTAAGCCACCACGCCTGGCCTTTTTTTTCTTTTTAATGATTCCAGGTCTTTAAATAACTCAATCAATTGCTAATCAGAAAATCTTTGACTCTATGACCTGAAAGCCCTGGCTTCCAGTTGTCCTGCCTTTCCAGACTGAACCAATGTACATCTTACACGTATTGACTGATGTCTTTTATTCCTTTTTTTTTGTTTTCTTTTCTTTAAGAGATGGAGTTTCACCATGTTGGCCAGGCTGGTCTCAAATGCCTGAGCTCAAGCAATCCACTTGCCTTGGCCTCCCAAAGTGCTAGGATTACAGGCATGAGCCATCATGCCCAGCCACTGATTAATATCTTATTTTGTCTCCCTAAAATGTTTAAAACCAAGTTGGAGCCCTACCACATCAGGCACATGCTCTCAAGATCTACTGATGCTGTCTTGGGTTATTGGTCACTCATATTTGGCTCAGAATAAATCTCTTGAAATATTTTACAGAGTTTGATTCTTCATTGACAATAATTTGACAACTGAACACACGAGGCCTCAGAGAGAACCCAGAACCCTGAAGGAGTTGCCTGAACTTGGAGCTAAGGTACCAACAGGGGTCCTTGAAAGCCCTCCCTGCAGATCACTTGAGCCCAGGAGTTCAAGACCAGCCTTGGCAACATGGGAAAACCTCATCTCTACAGAAATACAAAAATTAGCCTGGCGTGGTGGTGGGGGCCTATAGTCCCAGCTCTTCGGAGATTGGGGCAGGAAGATTGCCTGAGTCCAGGGAAGCCAGGGCTGCAGTGAGCGATGATCAGGCCACTGTCCTCCAGCCTGGGCAACAGAGAGAGACCCTGTCTCATAAACAAACAAATAAATAAATGCCTCACCAACTTTCAGCTTCTCCTCCTAGTAAGTCCTCCTGAGCCCTGGACCTCTCGTTTGGTTGATGGTCCTTGGTTTATTGTGAGCTGTTGCTTTTTTTTTTCTCCTAGGAAGATGTTTAGGATCCTAATTGTAGTTCGGAGGTTCATTCTAAATGTTCTTCTCAATTCCCTTTTTCTAAAGACAAGGAGAACGACCCCCTTGCAGGCACCCCATTTGGTATGTAGTTCGGAAGTACATTCTAAATGATCTTCTCCATGGCTTTTTCTCCCAGATTAAGCTCAGCGGGTTTGTCTGCACTGAGACTTTTTGTTGACGCTAAGTTAAGAGGGATAGAAGGAATTTCCATGGCCCAGCTTTGCAACTGATTTTCTGGAAAGCCCTTCCTGTCATCCTAACCTTCCCTCACCTAACCACAGGCTGCTCCTACTGTGAGGACAAGCACCCACCTTCACTCAATTTGGACTTTTCATCTGTTAAACAGGAAGTGAAACCTACAATGCAGGGTTCCAGGATTCCGTCTCAGAACCAAACCCAATAAAATGTGTAAAGTAGGTCCTTTCCCTGAGGCTGCACCATTCTGGGCTCTCCCAGCCCTTCCTTGTTTTTTTTTTTTTGTTGTTGTTGTTGTTTTCTTTTTTCTTTTTTTTGAAACAGTCTCCCTCTGTCACCCAGGCTGGAGTGCAGTGGCATGATTTCAGCTCACTGCAATCTCTGCCTCCCCGGTTCAAGCGGTTCTCCTGCTTCAGCCTCCTGAGTAGCTGGGATTATAGGCGCCCACCACTACACCAGGCTAATTTTTTTGTATTTTTACTAGATTTGGGGTTTCACCATGTTGGCCAGGCTGGTCTCAAACTCCTGACCTCAAGTGACCCGCCCGCCTTGGCCTCCCAAAGTGCCCGGATTACAGGCATGAGCCACTGCACCTGGTGCGTCCTTGGTATTTCTATCAAGTCATTTCCTTTGAACACACCTCCATTTAGCATGTAGCATTTAGCGAAGCATTTGTTAATAGCACTGCATTGGAGTTATTTGGGTTGCACATAACTCGGTGGCAGCGTTTTAGAAAATGCACCCACCGCTGGATTGCATTCCTTAAGAGGAAGGAGTGTCTCCTTTTTTTTTCTCCCACCACAGCACACTCACGGCCTGGTGCTTTGCCCAAATTGCTCCCCACCTGTTGAATGAGAGTCAATGGTATGAATCTTGAATGACCCAGGACCGTGCAAGCAGGAGATGAGGAATTGTGTGTGTGGTAGGTGATGGGGAGGAACAGAGTAGTAAAGCATTACCACAGCTACCAACCATGCCAGAGAAAAGCGCTTTAAGTGGCAGAAAACCTTAACTGGAGTCCCAGCTTCATAGGAGCATCCTCAGTCCCAAGCTGTCTCGATTTATTCAGCTGTATAGTAGGGATAAATAGGGACTAACGTGGTTAAACAGCTGCCCTCGGCCCTAAGTGAAAATACTTTATAAACCGGCGTGGCAGCTCATGCCTATAATCCCAGCACTTTGGAAGGCCCAGGAGTTCAAAACCAGCCTGGGCAACATAGACCTCGTCTCCATTAAAAACAAAAGAAGGGCCGGGCGCGGGGTCTCACGCCTGTAATTCCAGCACTTTGGGAGGCCAAGGCGGGTGGGTCACGAGGTCAGGAGCTCAAGACCAGCCCGGCCAAAACAGTGCAACCCCATCTCTACTAAAAACACAAAAGCCGGGAGTGGTGGCGGGCGCCTTGTAATCCCAGCTACTCAAGAGGCTGAAGCAGAGAATTGCTTGAACCCGGGAAGCGGAGGTTGCAGTGAGCCGAGATCGCGCCACTGCACTCTAGCCTGGGCGACAGAGCCAGACTCCGTCTCAAAAAATAAAAAAAAATAAAAAACAAAACAAAACAAAAAACTTTGTAAAGAGCCCTCTCGCTCATTACCACCAGGGCCACGCAGGGCGAGAGGGCTCCACTTCTCCTGGAAGGCAGGACCCAGACCCTCCCCAGGTGCTCGAGTTGTGGCTGCGGTTCGCGACTCCGCCCCACTTATCCGGCTTGTTAGAAAAGTCCCACCTGTCATCAATGATTCGTCTGAAACGAATAGGCGCCTGAGGTATCCTCACATTTTATTGGTTAATGCTGCTGTTTGTCTTCGGGCGGCGGCCTCTGAGAAATGTAGTTTCGGAGAACACGGAGTCTTTCCGCTTCCGCGGCTCAGTGGTTATCTCAATAGCCGTGTTTAGGACCCTAGTGTCGTGTGGGAACGTTGCGTCCCCGCGGAGAACATGTCACGGGGGCCGAGTCGTCCGTATTCTTAGGGCCTCGGCGGGCGGGAGTAGCTCTCACCTCGGGCCTGGGCCTCGAGCCAGGGTCCGGCGGCCTCCAGCCCTGGCCCCGAGTCCCCGCGATCTGACCCGGAGGCAGGATACGCCCCTTGTGCTGGTGGCGCCCTATTCCCGCTGCCCGCTGAGCCTGGAGGGACGACGCTGGCCCTGTAGCCGCCGAGGCGCCCCTGGCTGCGGGGCCCGCGTTTGCCCCGTAAAGATTGCAGAAAAAGTCGCCCGCGGAGCAGAGTAACCTTCCAGTATAAGTCACCCAGTCTGCAGTCGAAGGATTGAGCCACTGTTCATTTTCCTGCCTTAAACCAGCTACGTGACCTTGAACAAGTCCCTTGAGGTCTCTAAGCCATGATTGCCTCAGCTCTTAACGGAGTTCAAGCCAGAGTATCTCTTAACTCTCCAACTGTACCATCCCGTGAGTCTATGTTTATTATCCTTTCTCTTAAAGCTTGCAACCTTAACCAGGGTAAATGTCCCAGTCTGGGCTAGAATTAGGATGCCAGCGCTGAGAAATCCTGAACGGTGCGCCCAAGGCTGAGAATCCAGCCGGAGGCGAGGGTAGTTGAGCGGTTGGAGTATTTGAATCTCTGACATTTAGAGACGGCTCCACCCCGAAGCTGCTCTTCAAGGTGCGACTACCTGTGTGAGTCTGACTGGTACTAGACATTTGCTATGCAACACCCTGTAGTTCTGAAGACCAGTGGCTTGGGAGGGTGGGCAGTTTATTGTCGCATATATAATCTCCGTCAGCCCACCCACATTCGTCAGTGGATAATTGGCATTTTCTCAGCTTTAAATTAATTGCTATGCAAACACAGCTTCAAGCTCCTCTACTTTTCAACCAGATCACTAGCCCTTGACTCCTCTTATCAAACTTGGGGAACTGCCACCCCACCAGTGACTCCACAGGCACCAGGGCATGCAGCAGGGCGGGGACAGGAAGGCTCTCTTCCTCACCTCAAGCCTGCTGGGCTAACACTTGAGATTTTTACTAGAGTTCACTTTGTAATGTATGTCTCTTGACTCTAGAATTTCAAGAGAAGTTCCATTTAGTGGTTTCTAAGTGGGAGTTCTGAGATGGTTTCCCAGTGAGGTGATAGAAGATGTTTGAGCTTCAGAGTGCAGTTGCAAGGCTCTTCTCTGACCTGAACAATGGCTGTAGCTGTGGACCAACAAATCCAGACTCCTTCAGTACAAGATCTCCAAACAGTTAAACTGGAAGAAGATTCCCACTGGGAGCAGGAAATTTCCCTTCAAGGGAATTACTCTGGAGCGGAGACATCCTGCCAGAGCTTTTGGCATTTCCATTACCAAGAAGCATCAGGACCCCGAGAGGCCCTCCTCCAGCTCCGGAAGCTCTGTTGTCAGTGGCTAAGGCTAGAGAAGTGTACAAAAGAGCAGATCCTGGAGTTGCTGGTCCTAGAACAGTTCCTGACTGTCCTTCCCCAGGAGATCCAGGTCTGGTTCCCACAGCAGCATCCAGAGAGTGGAGAGGAGGCAGTGGCCCTGGTGAAAGACTTGCAGAAAGAACCTGGAAGACAGAGGCTGGAGGTGAAATATAAAAACATAGTTCTGAGCAGTTAAAATAGAGGTATGTGAGAGGCAGAGCTGCCTTGGGTTGCTAGCAGTGTGGGCGATGTGTAGTACTTCACTATTTGTGTTAAACTGGAATTTGCTTATTTCGTGGTCATGGTAGCTGCAACTTTCCTTCCAAGTTGAGGCTGACTCTTCAGAGAATGCACAACACTGGCTGCTCTGAGTGTCCGTCCCTGCCATTAAATAAGAAAATTGCTTAAAATGGCATGAGCCTCACTCTGATCAGGGAGGAGCACATATGACAGGGATCTCTTTTTGGAGAACAGCTCTCATTCTGCAGCAGCCAGCTAGAGGCAAGCGGCTTCAGTGGCCTTTATCGACATTATTGAGCCTATTGCAAAACACCTGAATTATCCTATGTTTTTTTGCCTAGGGGTTGGCAAGGCAGGTAGGAGCAGTCCTCAGAGAGCTGGGTGGCCAGGATGCGGTGGTCCATGGCTTTATCTCCATAAAGCCTTCCACATGTCCACCCTCTTTACTGCTGTTGCAGGCTTTTGCATAAGACTGGCTTTTTCCTCTGCTTTTTTTTTTTTTTTTTTGGAGATGGAGTCTCGCTCTGTCACCCAGGCTGGAGTGCAGTGGTGTGATCTCGGGTCACTGCAACCTCCACCTCCTGGGTTCACACCATTCTCCTGCCACAGCCTCCCTCCCGAGTAGTTGGGACTACAGGCGCCCACCACCACGCCCGGCTAATTTTTGTATTTTTGTAGAGACAGGGTTTCACCATATTGGCCAGGCTGGCCTCAAACTCCTGACCTTGTGATCCATCCGCCTTGGCCTCCCAAAGTGTTGGGATTACAGGCATGAGCCACTACGCCCAGCCTTTCCTCTGCTTTTTTATGTTTGGGATGTTTAAGTTTTAGTCCCTACAGAATTTTGACCACTTCCACCCCTTGAGGAGGGACAGGATGTGCTTTCAAAGGAGAAGGAGCCCTCAGGATCAGTACTGAGTTCTCTAAACATCCGTCCGAAGCAAGCACAGACAGAACTGCCTGTTTCAGGCAATAGTGAAGAAGTTCACAGCCAGAACCAGAGGAACAGTTGAAGCACAGCCCCAAAGTAGAACTCCAGCCCGTCCACAAGGGTGGTAAGAAGTAGCAGTGTTGGCCCACGTGCGCCGCACGCCCTGATCGCAGCGGGGCCGTGGTGTGTACGTGCGGTATGCGTGGCGCGAGCTGCGCTTGCTTGCCCTGCCTGCACTCCTCCACAGCCTGGGCCGGACCGCCTGGGACGCTGAGGCGGCCGAGGGGACCGGTCTTGCGCACCCCAGGCCCGCGCGCCCAAGCCCAGGTTGCGGTTCGCCGCACAGGCCGCGTTCTCTCAACCTACAGCGGCGATGAGGCGCTGAGGCAGCCGCCGGCGCTGCGCGGGAGCCTAGGACTCGGAAGCGGCTGGGCCGAGGGCGCTGGGTGCCGGCCTCCCTGAGTCAAGGGTAGCAGGTACATGGCGCAGTAACGGCCCCTATCTCTCTCCCCGCTCCCCAGCCTCGGACGAGGCCGTTGGGCCGCCACCTCTCCTGCTCAGCTGCCTTCGCCATGGCCAATGACAGCTGCGGGCCCGCGAGCCGAGCGAGTGAGACTGGCAGTACTGCGAGCTGTGGGGGAAGATGGAGAACCTGCTGCTCTACAGCCGCCCTTCCTACCGCTGCAAGGAGCACCAGCCTCAGGACTGGAAGAAGTACAAGTTCGTGTGCCAGGGCAGCGAGGGTGTCCTCGGTCACGGAGGCAAAGCCTAGTTTGCTGACATTAAACCCAACTTTGATAGACTGCTGTTTTTCTGGTCTGACCGTCGCAACCCTCATGAAGTACAACAAGGTACGCAATAACTGGTATTTTGATGCACATGAGAAAGCACGAGCTAAAGTAAAATATCTAACAGGTGAAAAAGGTGTGAGGGTTGAACTCAAACCTTCAGATTCAGTCAGTAAAGACGTCTTATAGAGCCTTTAATCCAGCAATACCCCACTTCACCTACAATAATTGTTGACGCTATTTGTTAATTTGTGAATACGAATAAATGGGATAAAGAAAAATAGACAACCAGTTCGCATTTTAATAAGGGAACAAACAACTTTGTGTGTTGCATCAAACAGAAGGTTTTTACTGCTGTGGCTTTGTACTGCATGATCAACTTAGCATCTGTGATTGCTTACAGGAAGAAGATAGGCTACTAATTGAAAATGTTTTTACCTCTGGATATGAAATAAGTGCCCTGTGTACAATTGTTTTCATTCTTATATTTTGCCAGGTCTGTTACCTAGCTGAGTTAATTTCATCTCTCCTTTTTTTTAATATCAAGTTCGAATTGGGTTCATTTTTCTATGATTAGGTATAATTTATCAAAACTGAATTGAGAAAAAAATTACAGTATTCCTCAAAATAACATCGATCTATTTTTGTAAACCTCTTTGTACTATTAAATTTTGCCCTAAAAGACCTCTTAATAATGATTGTTGCCAGTGACTGATTATTAATTTTATTTTACTTAAAATAAGGAAAGGAGCACTTTAATTACAACTGAAAAATCAGATTGTTTTGTAGTCCTTCCTATCTTACACTAATTTGAACTCTTAAAGATTACTGCTTGTTTTTTTTGTTTGTTTTTTTTTTTTTGAGACAGAGTCTTGCTCTGTCGCCCAGGCTGGAGTGCAGTGGCCGGATCTCAGCTCACTGCAAGCTCCCCCTCCCGGGTTCACGCCATTCTCCTGCCTCAGCCTCCCGAGTAGCTGGGACTACAGGCGCCCGCCACTTCGCCCGGCTACTTTTTTGTTTTTTTTTTAGTAGAGACAGGGGTTTCACCGTGTTAGCAGGATGGTCTGGATCTCCTGACCTCGTGATCCGCCCGTCTCGGCCTCTCAAAGTGCTGGGATTACAGGCTTGAGCCACCGCGCTCGGCCTACTGCTTGTTTTGACTTTGTCAGTAATGAAACCCAATTGTAAAACGGTCACCATTTACTACCAATAACTTTTAGTTAATGTCTTACAAGGAAAAAGACACAATAAGAAGAGTTAATTTTTTTTTTTTTTTTTTTTTTCAGAGTCTTGCTCTGTTACCCAGGCTGGAGTGCAGTGGTGCGTTCTTGGCTCACTACAACCCCTGCCTCCCAGGTTCAAGCAATCCTCCCACCTCAGCCTCACAACTAGCTGGGACTGTAGGCGCACACCACCATGCCTGGCTAATTTTTGTATTTTTAGTAGAGATTGGGTTTTGCCATGTTGCCTAGGCTGGGGTTTAAGTTAAATTTTTTTAAAAACTAAAGTGACTGGCACTAAGTGAACTTGAGATTATCCTCAGCTTCAGGTTCCTAAGATAAGGGCTTTCTTAAGCTTTCAGATAATGTATCCTCTAGGTGTAGACAATAATGCCCCATTACTAAGTCTTTTCCTTTGCTTCTCCTTAAATTGATTATACTTCCAAATTTGCTGTTATGTTTTTTCCTAGTACTGTGATTTATTTGATCTACAGACAAGAACCTCGTCTCTATTGAAGAGCATCAAGGGGAGATTATGTACGCATTGAAACCGAAGTGTGTTGTTACCAACTTAATGTGCAGTAACTCCTCAGATATCTGTTAAGGCATTTCCCAGATGTGATGCCAGCCTTCTTACCTGTACTGAAAGATGTTTAGCTTAGAAGAAAAAAAAAGTCCAAAATCAGATTTAAAAAAAAAGTAGTAGTAGCAGCGTGGGGAGGAAGGAAGTACCCTTCTGTGGGGAGGGCACAGAAGTACTCTCTGAGTGCAGAAAGTGGGGTAGAAGGTACAGCTCCCTTCTACTTGGAAGATTGGTATGTGGAGCTCAGGCTGACTGCATGAATCTCTGAGATCCTAAATGGGCTCCTCCAAAGTGAAGAAGGACCTCGGTTGGCATGTTTTGTAAAACAACATAGGGGAGCCTGTGGCACATTTCCTTATGTGAGTCAGAGATTACTGGTCTCAATAGGTTACAGTTGGAGACAGATTTTAGGTCTGGTTGGTGGGAAGGGCAAAAGGGTAGGGTTAAACTAAGGTGCAGTAATCCTTAAAACAGTTAAGTGTCCCCAAACCAATTTAGATGACTCAGGTGTTTATCAAAACTGAAAAACAAGGCCAGTTGTGGTGGCTCGTGCTTGTAATTCCAGTACTTTGGAAGCCGAGGTGGGTGGATTGCTTGAGCCCAGGAGTTCGAGATGAACCTGGGCAATACGGTGGAACTCCGTCTGCTCTGAAAATACAAAAAAAAAAAAAAAAATTATCTGGGCATGGTGGCAGGCACCTGTAGTCCCAGCTACTCAGGAAGGCTGAAGTGGGAGGATCACCTGAGCCTAGGAGGTTGAGGCCAAGATCGTGCCACTGCACTCCAGCCTGGGTGACAAAGGGAAGCCCTGTCTTAAAAAAAACACAAAAAACAAAAAACCTGAAAAACAAAATCATAAAACCCTGACAGTCAGTACCTAGATGGATATGGAGAGGAAGACCTAAAACTTTCATCTTAGAAATGTTCCATTTTGGTTTTTCACCAGCCTTTCTTTGATAGGACAAAGCAGATACTAAGAGGAGGAGGAAAGGCTGTTCTGTGTCTGAACCCAGTTGGGCTAGTCCCCAATAGGAGCCGAGAGCCATGTACTCTAATGCCTCCTTTTTCTTCCCCCAGCCGAAGTGTGTTGTTACCACTGATCTTCTGGCTCTGAGAATTCCTGCAGAGAAGAGCAGGGTGGCGAGGAGATAGTGAGCAACTCCCAGGTGAGTCAGCCATTTCTCTTATACAGGTCACCTTTTTTCTCTCTTTTTTTAAAATAGAAATATAACTCTTGAGGCACAGCTCAGTTTTCTCCTTTTGGGAAAACTATTAAGTCATTTGTCTTTACAGATTATATATTTTTAAATTTTTCTCTATATTTTTAATTATACTTTTAAGTTTTGGGGTACATGTGCAGAACGTGCAGGTTTGTTACGTAGGTATATACGTGTCATGGTGGTTTGCTGCACCCATCAACCCATCGTCTACATTAGGTATTTCTTCTAATGCTCTCCCTCCCCTATCCCCCAACCCCCTTCAGGTCACCTTTTACTACCAGAGTGGGGCTCCTGCAACCAACTAAAGCCACTCAGAAATTCCAAAAGAATTTTACCCAGCAGGGAGGCCCAGTAACTTTAAAATTTAGGCTCCAAAATTTCATCAGCCTGCAAAAGTTTGCCCAAATCTCCTTACCCATATGAGGCCAGTGCCATGGCTGTGGTAATGAGGGATTACATTAAAATTATTCTTTTCTTTGACCCTGAAATCATCAGATTCTAGTGATGTGCTTGTTTGCCTTAAAGATACTCGTTACTTCATTCTGTGTTGGGATATTGCTCACATGGCATGCAGTATTGTGTAGTGGAGGAAAAAAAAAAAAACCAAAAGCTTCAGAGTCCAACAGCCTTGAGTTGAATTCCCAGCCACACCCTGGACTCGCTGTGTAACTCTGGGCAAGTCTGAGAAGCTTCTGGCCCAGTGTATAGGTGTTTAATAAATGTCAGCTTGTTTCTTTTCTCTCTCTCCTCCTGCCCCCTTTATTGCATTTAAGAGCTAAAATAATCACTGTTTCGTTTCTTCTGTTTTGTCACTTGCCCTGACTCAGGCATTAGAGAGGCATTTTGTTCCGAGGCCATGTGTTTGAGAGGGAGTGTTATGTTTCCTCAGGAGTTAGCCACACCTGGTGATTCGCCTGTATATATCTCCTAGGAGCATGGAGGGATCCAGAATCTGGACAGAAGAACCACCTAGAAATAACTCGGCAGAATTCTGAAAATGAGGTCACGCTGGGTAAGAATGCCTTTTTTTTTTTTTTTCCATAGTCAAAGTTAGCTATAGAGTTTCTGTACTCCAGACCTTTTTCAGGTTGATTTTTTTTTTCTTTTCCCCTATGTCTGTTCTTACTTATTTTTTTAAAACTTTTATTTCAGTAGTTTTTGGGGAACAAGTGATGTTTGGGTACGTGGAAAAGTTCAGTGGTGACTTCTGAGATTTTGGTGCACCCATCACCCAAGGGTAGTCTTTTTTATCCATCAAGTCTGTACCCAATGTGTAGTCTTTTTTTTTTCTTTTTGTTTGAGACTGGGTCTCACTCCATCACCCAGGCTGGAGTGGAGTGGTACAATCTTGGCTCACTGCAATGTCTGCCTCCCGGGTGCAAGTGATTCTCCTGCTTCAGCCTCCCGAGTAGCTGGGATTACAGAGATGTGCCACCAAGCCCAGCTAATTTTTGTATTTTTTTTTAGTAGAGATGGGGTTTCACCATGTTGGCCAGGCTGGTCTTGAACTCCTGATCTTAAGTGATCTGCCTGCCTCAGCCTCTCAAAGTGCGGGGATTACAGGCCTGAGCCACCGCGGGGCCCCAATGTGCAGTCTTTTATCCCTCAGTCTGTACCCAGTGTGTAGTCTTTTATCCCTCACCCCCTTGCTCCCACCCTTTCCCCCTGGGTTGAATGTTTCAAATCTATTTTTTCCTTAAATCTTACTCAAAAGAAAGCCAATATCATAGTCAGTTTCACCAAGGATGAGTTTCTTGACCCAGAAAGGAAAGCTCATTTTAGGGAGATGGTCAGTTTAGGTATGTGTCTGAATTTTATTTAAGATAGGTGAACACAGATATATAGTTGTGCATTTGGGCCTGAATTTTTTTTCTAATTGTTCTTTTCACTGAGCTTTCCCAAGAACCCCCTCAGACTTAAAAAAAAAAAAATTACTATCAGCTGGGCCGGTGGTTCATGCCTGTAATCCCAGCACTTTGGGAGGCTGAGGCAGGCGGATCACCTAAGATCAGGAGTTCAAGACCAGCCTGGCCAACATGGTGAAACCCTGTCTCTACTAAAAATACAAAAATTAGCCAGGCATGACATCACGTACCTGTAATCCCAGCTACTCGAGAGGCTGAGGCTGGAGAATCGCTTGAATCCAGGAGACGGAGGTTGCAGTGAGCCGAGATTGTGCATTGCACCCCAGCTTGGGTGTCACAGCGAGACTCTATCTCAAAAAAAAAAAAAAAAAAAATTACTCTCTCTTCTCCCTGGCACATAAAATGGTTGGAATTAGATTTACCAAACCATTACATCTCCCTTTTGTGTGCCTGCAAACAGATTTTCCAATCCATAGGCCCAAAGTGAACTCCCACATGGAGTAGGAGGAAAACCCACAGAGTCTAGATCTTCACATTCTGGAGAAAAGGAGAATGTGAAAGACTGCTCAGTGGCTGGGGTGAGAGTCAAGTCTGGCCAGGTGCTAATCTGGAGAAAGCCAAGACCTGGAGCTAGCTGGAGTGGCAGGCCCTGGAGGATGAGAAGGTGGCAAAAGTGCACTGGGGATACAAGGAAACCAAGATTTTTCTGGGAATTCTCAGAGGCCTGGATCCATGAAAAACTCCGCATCGGCCATTGAAACCACCAGGTGTACCAGATTATGGCTGAGCAGCTACAAGAGCATGGCTTCATGTGAACCCTGGAGCAATGTTGCTATCGGTTCAAAAACCTCCTGACCAACTACTGCAAAGTCAGGAGCACCTACACACTAGGCACCAGTGCCTTCTATGATGAGATGGATGCCCTGATGAGTCCTTGGGCACTTGCTAACACCTTTGATGCCTTAGAGGTGGTAGGAGGCCGCCTTCAGGATTGAGAGGATTCCAAAGGGAACCAGGGCATAGCACTAGAAGATGTGGTGGGATGGTAATGAAGTAGTGGAGTCTCAAGAAGAATCCTGGAGCCTTGGTCCCCAGGCCTTGAGGTAGAATCCCAGTGGCAACTCTCCCCCACAGTGGACCTCAGAGCAGTGGGAGCAATGCAGTCCTGTGGGAAGCATTCAGGCTCAGAATCAGATGTGATTATTGTCCTGGCTCTGCTACGACTAATTTAGGTCTGGAATGGCCTCATTGGGGGAAAATTTGGTGGCAACTTTAAGGGAATACTGTTTATATCCTGTCCTCAAATATTGCTTGACTCAACCCTCTACTGAACCAGTAGTCCAGGGTGGCTCACAAAGACCACTTTGAGGCTCTTGCTCTGCCTATAGCCAAGGAGTCTCCCTTCCTGCCTTTAGTAACAACATTACAGGAACAGAGGAGAGAAAGGTAGGAGTTAAAAGTTCCAGTCATTTGTTTCCATCTAAAGTGCCCTATAAGCCAGGCATGGTGGCGCATGCCTGTAGTCCCAGCTGCTCGGGAGGCTGGGGCAGGAGAATCACTTGAGCCCGGGAGTTGGAGGCTGCAGTGAGCTGTGATCATGCCACTGCATTCCAGCCTGGGCAACAGAGTGAGACCCAGACTCAGTTGAAAAATAATAATGTTATTATTAAAATAATTTAAAATAAAGTGTTCCATAGATGTGAACACTGCATAGATTATATACAACAGTCTGCCATTTAAAAGGCTTGTTGTTCTTGGGCAACCTCGTTAAACACCCTTAGCCTCCATTTTCTCATCTGGACAGTGGACATATGATGGTTTCTACCTCCTTGGGCTATTATGAGGATCCTGACACAGTATTAGCACTCGGCAAATGTTAGTTTTCATTTTTATCATTATAATTATGATGATGTCCCCTCCTGCTTTTCCTTGAGCAGGACTTCCAGTTCCCCAGCCAGACGGGGTCACAAGGCTGCAGAAAAGTGAAGAGCTTTGGAATGAAGTTCTCCAGGACTTCAAGGAGATTCAGAAAACGTCCAGGGCAGGTGGGAAATGAGTAGGAGCTAGCATTCCACCAACAAAGTCAGCCCTGGGATTCTAAACTCGGACAAGCCAGCACTGGGCAAGGGCTGAGAGGGGAACCAGGTGCTCAGTGCTCCCAGTTTACTATTCTGTGGTGTGGAAAGCACAGGAGTAGGGAAAAGAACAGAGAAGCTGGCACCCAGGAAAGCCTGTTCCCCTAAGTTTGAACTTTAGTTACCTTGAAAAAAGGTATAACTGAATTGTGAGTGTTTATGATTTTATCTTTAAATTTCTGTTTCTTTTTTTTTTTTTGAGACGGAGTCTCACTCTGTCACCCAGGCTGGAGTGCAGTGGCACAATCTTGGTTCACTGCAGCCTTTACCTCCCAGGTTCAAGCAATTGTCCTGCCTCACCCTCTCGAGTAGCGGGGATTATAGGCGCGCCACCACCATGCCTGTCTAATTTTTGTATTTTTAGTAGAGACAGGGTTTCACCATGTTGGCCAGGCTGGTCTTGCACTACTAACCTCAGGTGATCCACCCGCCTTGGCCCCCACAAAGTGCTGGGATTACAGGTCTGAGCCACTGTGCCTGATCTATCTTTAAATTTCTATTTGAATTTATTTAGGTTTTTTTAATAAAAATCTTTTTCTTTTTCTTTTCTGTTTTTTAGAGACAGGGGCTCACCATGTTGCCCAGGCTGATCTCGAACTCCTCCTGGACTCAAAGCCATCCTCCCACCGCAGCCTCCCAAAGTACTGGGATTACAGACATGAACCACCATGCTTGACCTGAATTTTAACTACAATTAATTACCACTTAGCCTGGTTAATAGAAAAAATAAACATGGAAAACCCCAAATTAAAACTAGAGTCAACCTTAGATTATTAGAGGGATGAATTTCTCATGCTTAAGATGACCTTCCCCTCCCTGGTGGGGCTGTCATTTTGTTGGAATTTAAGGGATCTGATAAATCTGGGTACTTTGAATGTGGGAAAGGCTTCAGTGATCATTCTAACCTTACAGCACACTAGAGAATCCACATTGGGGAGAAGCCCTACAAATGTGGAGAGTGCTGGAAGAGCTTTACCCAGAGCTCAAGCCTCATTACACACCAGAGAATCCATACAGGAGAGAAACCTCATAAGTGTAGTGAGTGTGGAAAAAGTTTCATCAGTAGCTCACACCTCAGTGTACACTGGCGAATGCACACTGGTGAGAAACCCTTCCAGTGCCCAGAGTGTGCAAAAAAGTTCAGAAAGAGCTCCACCCCCACCAGCCATCAAAGGATCCACACAGGAGAGAAACCATATCTGGAATGTGGGAAAGGTCTCAGTGACCACTCAAACCTCATTACCCACCTATGAATTCACACTGGAGACCCTGTAAATGTGGGGAATGTGGGAAAAGCTTTAATCAGAGCTCAAGTCTCATTATACAGCAGCAAATTCACACAGGAGAAAACCCCTGGCTGAACGCGGTGGCTCACACCTGTAATCCCAGCACTTCGGGAGGCCAAGGTGGGTGAACTGCAAGGTCAGGAGATTAACACCATTCTGACCAACATGGTGAAACCCCGTCTCTACCAAAAATACAAAAATTAGCCGGACATGGTGGTGTGTGCCTGTAATTACAGCTACTTGGGAGGCTGAAGCAGGAGAATTGCTTGAACCAGGAAGTCGTAGGTTACAGTGAGCCGAGATCGTACCACTGCATCCCAACCTGGTGACAGAGCAAGACTCCATCTCAAAAAAAAAAAGAAAAGAGAAAAACCCCTATGAATGTAGTGAATGTGGGAGGTGATTCAACAATAGTTCACATTTTAGTGCACATCAGAGAACCCACATGGGAGACTCTAAATGTTCCCTAAATGTAGAAGAAATGTTTTTAAAGCATTGAGGCTGAAAACAGTAGGAAATCCATCCCAAGAAAGGGTTTGTCTTGCCCTTGATTCTCTACCACATCACTCACATGAGATAAAGAGAAAATTAAGATTTCAGTCTGACAGACTTTTCTTTCTCTCACTAAACACTCACTTGGCTTATGAAATAGCAGTCAGGGTTTTCTTATTTGTGCTGTTGAGACAAGTCAGTTTCCAGAGTCTTCAGAGACTACTTCTGAATTTGATTATGTCACCATCTCAGTGAGTCTTCACTGTGATTCTGTGCCTTAACTTTCAGTTTGGCAATGGGGTGAGATTCTTGTCTCTGAGACCCTCCCTCAAGGACAGAGGCGGCTCTGCACTACTGCACTGATGACGTTAATGATGGTTGGGTCAGCTGTGGGCTGTTTGTTCTAAGCACCTGGCAGCTAGACATGGGTTTATTAACTAAAGGAAATCATAAAGGTCTTCTATTGTTCTCTGAGAGGACTGGGGCTCAGAACATGTCTACATTTCCCCAAATGCCTTTTCTTAGGATTGACTTAGCATCAATTGAGAGGAAAGCATTCTATATACTTGATCCTTTGGAGGAAGGGAAAGGAGAATAGTTCCAACACTAGAGGTTGGCTTTTTAACCATAACTTACTCCTCCTCTCAATGTATTGGGTTGAACCTTACAAGATTGCTGTTTTGGTCTACAAAACCAGCAATTTTACAATTCAATCTAAGTAGAATTTATGTGGCAGGATTGCTTTAAATGTGCAACAGCGCTTGCAGTAGAGCCTTACAGCTCATACTGTATCCTAAAAATGTGAGACTGGGTCTAGAAGGTTGTGAGCCAGAATAATGAAGTACAAAAAGCCTTTTCTGTATATGTCCAGAGCAGTAACTAGGAACCATGTCATTAAGAAGTGTCCTAGTTGGAGAGCTTACCTCTCTATCACCTTCTTCAAGCGCACTAGTTCCTGTCTATGCTCAGGTGTCTTCAGGGCTGGGGTCTCCAGATCCTGGGGAAGAGTCTAGGTGTAGGCCAACGGGTTCCTGTGGATTTGAGCCTCTCTCTAAGAGCCGAACAGAGACCCTGGAAGGACTCATGTACAGAACAAATGGGATTTAGAAATAAATGGAACACAGTTCCTACCTCTGAAAATGGTTCTTTTTGTGTGTTTAAACTATTTTCCCACAACTTTCTAGAATTGCAAAACAAAGCACAATTTACACATGAGTATACCAATTAGATTCATGAAATATGATTAAGTCATGAGTCGTGGTGTTTTTGGAAAAGAAGAACTTACCCAAATATCTGTCAAAAGTCACTGATGGGCTGTGGCATGACGTTCTTTTTTTCTTTAAGAATTACCTTTGGCCAGGCACGGTGGCTCACACCTGTTATCCTAGCACTTTGGGAGGCCAAGGTGGGTGGATTGCCTGAGCTCAAGAGTTTGAGACCAGCCTGGGCAACACGGTGAAACCCTGTCTCTACTAAAATACAAAAGAAATTAGCTGGGTGTGGCAGCGTGCACCTGTAGTCCCAGCTATTTGGGAGGCTAAGGCAGGAGAATTGCTTGAACCCAGGAGGTGGAGGTTGCAGTGAGCCGAGATCACGCCACTGCACGCAAGCCTGGGCGACAGAGCAAGACTCCATTTCTACAAAAAAAAAATAATAATAATAATAATAATAATTCAGCCACCTTAGGAAGCCTCTCATTTATGTATTTCTAGCATGTAGTTAGTGTTGCGCATGGGAAGGGCTTAATAGATGCTGACAGGGTGAACAACTTATTTAACCTTATCACCTATTGTGTGTGTGTGTATGTGACAGGGTCTCACTCTGTTGCCCAGGCTGGAATACAGTGGCATGATCACAGCTCACTGCAAACTCCACCTGCCAGGCTCAGGCAATCCTCCCACCTCAGCCTCTTGAGTAGCTGGGACTACAGGCTCACACCACCACACCCAGCTAATTTTTCTATTTTTAGTAGAGACAGGGTTTCACCATGTTACTCAGTCTGGTCTCAAACTCTTGGACTCAAGTAATCCACCTTTCTTGGCTGCCTACATTGCTGGGATTACAGGCATGAGCCACCATGCCCAGCCAATTTTTTTTTTTTTTTAAGGGACAGGATCTTGCTATGTTGCCCAGGCTGGTCTACTCCTCAGCTCAAGCAATCTGCCCACCTCAGCCTCCAAAAGTGCTGGGATTACAGGTATGAGCCACCATGTCCAGCACACTTTAATATTCACTATGGGCCCTCAAAAGGAAATGTTTGTGGGGCCACCAAAAGCAAATGTCCCTTGAACCTAGTCACTTGGGGGGACAAGTGTGGGAAAGTGCACCTGTGTACCCATGAGAACCACTCAAGACGAGCAGAAATCTTGTTTTGCTATTTCTTTAATTGCTACTAGGGCTGGGATTTTTTTATGTTTATTGGCCCCTCTACATTTTTTTCTTTAAAAAAATTCACAAAGCATGTTTGTTAGCTCTTTCGATTCTCCCTATGCTAGTGTGAAGACAGGGACAAAACACTGCCATTTTACACTCCCAGATGTAACAGTAGCTACCAAGTAGTTACACCATGCATTTCTTCTAACCTTCACAATATCAATACGAGGTAGTTCTTACTATCCTCATTTTACAGATAAGGAACCTGAGGCTCAGTGACGCTGGTATACTTGCCCAAGGCCACACAGCTGGTAACAGGGACTGGCAGTCACTTGAGTCCTACATCAGTAGCCTTGCTACTACAGCAGCTCCTCCCCTTTCTAGAGGCCTGGATGGAAAGATGCTGGTGTCAGCAGGGGGCACAAAGGTCCACCCAATCCCACACATGCAAAGAGGCATCATTTGTTGCTGATAACAAAGTCCTTGGTCTGCAGGGGTGCCAGGTGTGGGTGGTGACCAAACGAGCAGGGTCCGTCCCGTTTCCATCTAGGAAGACGTGACCTCTGTGAGTGAAGAGAGGTTCTACTTGGCTCTGCGTTCCATTCCAAGATGTGGCATCATAGACCTGGACTGTACCATCAAAACCTGAGAATATAGAAAAGAGAGGCTTGACAATGAATCCCTAATTTTATTTTAAAATAATTTTCTTTCTTTTTTTAATAGAGATGAGGTTTCACCACGTTGACCAGGCTGGTCTTGAACTCCTGGCCTCAAACAATCCTCCCATCTCAGCCTCCCAAAGTGCTAGGATTACAGGCATGAGCCACTGCACCCAGCCACTAAAATACTTTTAATAATTTGCTCTGTGGTACCAAAACAGGCTATTGGATGAGGAATCAAGGCACTTAAAGGCTAACCATGGGCAAGTAGCATCTGCCCTCAGTGTTGGCAGCTGATGACTCCCTGGGGCATGTAACCATGGGCATCGTTGTGCACCTGTTACGCATGAGGCTTGAAGGCTAATTCTGGACAAGTATTACTTCTTTTAATCCTCAGAACTGTATGACACAGACACTGTTATTTTCCCCAGGAAACTGAGGCTTAAGAGACTTCTTCAAACCTTTGCAAGTTGCCCCAGATTCCAATCCCCTACCTCTGGGTCCCTCTCAGCAGATGGCCTTGTCTCCTACTCAGTGAGGGAAACAGAAGCCTTTGGAGAGAAATACCCTCACGTCCCTGCACAATCTAGCTGCACGCACACTCATCCCATCCTGCCATCTTCCTGTTACTGAAGAGCCAGCCCCTCTACCTGAGCTTGGCTCTTCTATTCTTTCTGGATCCTGGCATTTCTAATCATCCTTTCTTGCTCTCAATGATTTTTTTCAACCCCCACCTGTCTCAACAGATCCTTCCTGTTGGCTTTTAGATACCCACATTAAGTACCCAAGCAACTAGATGCCACCAGACCAGACCCAGGAGCCTGCTGACCTAACTGGCTTACTACTTTTTTTTTTTTTTTTGAGGCAGAGTGTTGCTCTGTTGCCAGTCTGGAGCACAGTGGCATGATCTCAGCTGACTGCAACCTCCGACTCCCGGGTTCAAGTGATTCCCCTGCCTCAGGCTCCCGAGTAGCTGGGACTACAGGTGTGCACCATCACACCTGGCTAATTTTTTTTATTTTAGTAGAGACAGGGTTTCACCATGTTGGCCAGGATGGTCTCGATCTCCTGACGTTGTGATCCACCCGCCTCGACCTCCCAAAGTGCTGGGATTATAGGCGTGAGCCACCGCGCCTGGCCAGCTTGCTACATTTCAAAAGGTAAGTAGGCTGAGAAGTACCCTTGAGGTCCTGTTCCCGCTTCTCTTTTTTTTTTTCTTTTTGGGACAGAGTCTCTCTCTGTCGCCCAGGCTGGAGTGCCGTGGCGCAATCTCAGCTCACTGCAAGCTCCGCCTCCCGGGTTCAAACCATTCTCCTGCCTCAGCCTCCCGAGTAGCTGGGACTACAGGCGCCCGCCACCGTGCCCAGCTAATTTTTTGTATTTTTAGTAGAGACAGGGTTTCACCATGTTAGCCACTGTCCCCTCTTCTTTCTGACCCAGCCCTATGTCTGTCTCAGTGTCTTACTGTCTGCAGGCCCCTCCACCAACCTAAGACCTGAATTCCTGCTAGGCTAGGAAAGGCCTGCTGCCAGTGTGTGGAAGTTTAGTAGCCAGTGGGGGAAAAGGCCTGCCACTGAAGAACCTGGAGAGTTCGAATTTCTCTGTGAGCAACTTTAACTTCTGGAGTCAGGTTTATCATGTTGCTGGAGGCTCCTTCCTGAGCACACAACAGTCCCCTGAAAGAAAGAGATCAGATAACAGACAAAATCCTGCTCGGTAGTACCTGAGATGGCCAAGCAATTCTTCAGGCTTGGGGCCCAAGTCACTCGTAGCAGCTCTGGGTCAGGGCTAGGTATGGATACTGGGCACTGGACTGAGCTCACAGGATGGCAGAGATCCCGGGGGTCAAGAAGACAAAGACGCCCATCTGAGCCAAGGCTGGCAATGCTGGGCCCAGGGCCCTGGCCCCTGCTCCCAACTTCAGCACACCATCTCTCTCCACCAGACCCAGGGCCAGGGCTGCGATTCTCCAACGGTGCCCACTTCTGGCGGGTGTCAACAAGCCCCAGCCGGCCCGAAGCACAGCAGAAGGCAAAGGTGTCTGCATCTAGGACCTGCAGGCTACTCAGCTCCTCACTGTCACTGACATCTGGAAGACCAAGAGCAAAGGAGACAAGCAGCTGAAGGCAGATGGATCTGGCAATCTGGCAGGGCTGGCTGGTCACAGGTCCCTTTCCACCAGTCCCAGGCAGAATAAATCACATCTCCCTTTCCACTCATCTTGCCATTGTCTGCTCGGCTGGTTGGGTGCTGGTCCCTAGGACTGCCTAATCCTGCCCCAGCATGGGAGCCTTTTGAGGCCAGGGCTCACCTCTTATTCACCGTGTATCCCCAACACCTGGCACACAGGGTTGAACTCAGTTTCCATAGTGGCTGAGTTGGGCTGGGGGGTGATGCCGGCCGGAGCAGCCAGCAAGGGGCAAAGTACCACAATACCTGAGGTGTACGTGGTCTTCCGGGATTCCAGATCAACGACCTGCAGACTGCGGAGTCTCGCCCCATGGAGGACTCTAGGTGCCATCGAGGTGAAGACAGCCACCCTAGGCCAGAGACTCTCCTCTTTCTCATGCACACCAATGGTGCTGACAGCTTTAATGACATCTAGGGGAAAACGAAAAGAGGCTAAAATCCAGAACTTTAATGAAGGTTTGAAACATGACAGGCCAGCCAGCTGTCATCCCCTGTACATTTAGAAGGTCAAGAAAGAAAAGGAGCTGCCGGTTGGCAAGAGATGATGTTGAGACATAACCACTCTGACTCATGTTTACATTTTTGAAACCATCAGAAACATTTCAATTTCTTTATTATTTGTCTTATAAACTGTTTTTTGCAAATAGAAGATAATGCCATCTGAAAACCCAAAAAGCAATTCTGGCTTTTTATATTTTTGTGGAGAACAGGTAGAAGAAAAGGAATGAACACGCTGCTGATGTCACACCTTCAGTGACAAGTCACAGGTACAGAATTCATGAACTGATATTATTTCTTCAAAAACGTGTTCCATGACCTCGAGTGACTTGCTAAAGCCTAGCAAGTACAGGTCACGTTACAGATGTCATTGTCTTGTAAGGTGGACAAGAAAGTCCACATCTTTTTTACACTGAATGGAACATCCTTGGCTTTGAGTCAAGTTTTGTTTTGGTTCTTTTGTTTTTTTGAGACAGAGTCTCACTCTGTTGCCCAGGCTGGAGTCCAGTGGCACAATCTCAGCTTACTGCAGCCTCCACCTCTCAGGTTCAAGCAATTCTCCTGCCTCAGCCTCCCGAGTAGCTGGAATTATAGATGTGCACCCTCATGCCCAGCTAATTTCTTTGTATTTTTAGTAGAGATGGGGTTTCGCCATGTTGCTCAGGCTGGGCTCAAACTCCTGGTCAGGCAACCCACCTACCTCGGCCTCCCAAAGTGCTGGGATTACAGGCATGAGTCACCGCACCCAGCCAAGTATTAGTTTTTATTTGGTTGTCTCCACCCGCTAGGTTAACAGGCAGGTTCTCCTCTCTGTATTCTACATCTGAGGCTTCTCTTAATATATGCTTAATGCTGCCAAAGAGGTGAGCTCACTTGAGCAGCCTTAGCTCTGCCCTTGCCACTGCCCCTGCCTAGGGACAGTAGTTCTCTGGATGAACTCAATTCCAGGAGCAGGTTACAGGAAGCTCCATTTGGGGCTTGGATGTCATGTCGTGGTTGCTAATTCATCTTGTCTGCATTAAAGTAGACACTGCACCTGGCTCTGAGTCTACTTCTTTTTTTTTTTTTTTGGAGACAGTTTTGCTCTTGTTGCCCAGGCTGGAGTGCAGTGGCATAATCTCGGCTCACTGCAATCTCCACCTCCCGGGTTCAAGCGATTCTGCTGCCTCAGCCTCCCCAGTAGCTGGGATTACAGGTGCCCACCACCACGCCCGACTAATTTTTTTTATTTGTAATAGAAATGGGTTTCACCATGTTGTACAGGGTGGTCTTGAACTCCTGAACTCAAGTGATCCACCCAGCTCAGCTTCCCAAAGTGCTAGGATTACAGGCATGAGACTGTCCCTAGCCTGAGTCTACTTCTTAACTGGCTCAGATTAGGGGACAGGGGTGTATGAGTCACACTTTCCTAGAACCCCAAACCCCATCAAGTCAAATTCACTCACCACTGTCCTCTGCAACTTGCCACACCTGCAGATAACAACCTGGAAGGCCACTAGTCACCAGCAATCTATTCAGAATAAACAGAAAATCAGTCCAGACCATGGGGAGCTTATCCACACAGGTCCCTTCCCCTCTCCAGCCCACTTAGCTTGGGACTCCACTTCCCGTATCAGGAAATCTTACTGCAAGATCATCAAGGCCAACCACCCTCACTTCACAGATAAGAGGCAGGCTCAGTCCACTTTAGGGAGACTGAGCCTAAGCTTCCATGTGTCATGATGGTAACCTAGAGAGGACACCAGTATGGGGCCAAACACAACCTGACCCAGAGACTCTTAGCCTCTCCCAACTAAGCAATTATCACCCAAGAGCAACAGAAGAGCATCCTTCTGTCCCATTTCTATTCCCTGCAGCAACTCCGGTAGACCTGTTTCTTACAATAGTCAAAGGGTTCTGGGGGGCTATGAAGCCACAGCAGTGGTTTCTTTGTATTCTAAATCTGGGCGTATCTGTGCACGCACTTGTGTACTCACATGTGCCCGTGTGCTGAGGGGGTGGGAATGGAGACGAGGAGGCAGAATACCCCTCAGGCATCCCATCCTGCGTGGATGGTCTGGATCACAGAATTGACCATACCTGGTATGTGGCACGTGCTTTAGATCAAAGATAGACCTGTCTGAAAATCCTCCATGGCGCACTTTGAAATCTCTTTCTGGGAATAAGCCCTACAATACAAAGGAGTAGCCAATCAGAGCCAGTTCTTCAAATGAACATTTCAGAGGAACTCTTAAGTGAGGAGTCAGGTCCCAGCCTGGCAGGAGGCCATGGAAGCCACTCAGCTGGTGATAGGGCGTTGGTGTGCTGGTATTTGGCAATGTTGGTCTCAGCTGCCTATACATACAGCTTCCTTTTTCCTTTGCACATCCAAAACCCTTCTAGCCTTTCACTAGCCCCTTTTACTACAGCACAAGCATTATACTCCAGGCCTTCCTAGAGAAGCCAGAGAAGCTTAACAGCTTCATCAAAGAAAGCAGTGGACACATCCCCATTTCTCCCTCCATTCTCCTGCTGGAAACCAGGTGGATTCCTCTAACAATAAAAATTAACAATGACAACTTATCAGTGTTCACTGTGTCAGGCGCAGTGTTTAGGGCTTTATCACATTTAATTCTTACAACCTCCTATGATATAGGTACTATAATTATCCCTATTGTACAAATGACACAATTAAGGCACAAGGAGCTTCAGCCACTTTTCTAAGGTCATGCAGGTATTAAGTTGTGAATTTGAACCAAAGTCTCTCTAGCCCAAGTCCATACTGTTGGCCACTAGCCTCTACTATCTCCATGTAAGGAACGAGAGGCAAAGGAAAAGGAGGTGGCCATAGAAGAAACAAGGCAAACCTGGTGGTGAGCAGGGACGTAAATCACTTCTCACAGCGAGGCTCAGTCTGGGTGAACCCCTGACTCAAGCCTGACTGGAGATGGGGAAGATGATAGCTTCTGTAGCCTCTGGGTTTTATGAGTACAAATTTGGCTTTTTTTTTTTTTTTTTTAACTTTTTTTTGAGACAGAGAGTATCACTCTGTAGCCCAGGCTGGAGGGCAGTGGCGTGATCTCAGCTCACTGCAACCTCCGTCTCCCCAGTTTAAGCTATTCTCCTGCCTCAGCCTCCTGAGTAGCTGGGACTACAGGTGTGCACCACCATACCCATTTAATTTTTGTATTTTTAGTAGAGATGGGTTTTCGCCAAGTTGCCCAGGCTGGTCTTGAGCTCCCAACCTTAGGTGATCTGCCTGCCTCAGCCTCCCAAAGTGCTGAGATTACAGGCATGAGCCACCATGCCTGGTCTTTTTTAACTTTTTAAATTTTGTGAAGAGACAGACTTGCCATGTTGTCCAGGCTGGACTTGAACTCCTGGTATCAAGCAGTCTGCCGCCTCAGCTTCAAAAAGTGCTGGGATTATAGGCGTGAGCCACCATGTCAATCTACAAACTTGGCATTTTTCCTGAGCTTTCTCTCTTGAGATTCTAATTCAGTATGTTTGGGAAGTATGCTAGGAATATGCATTTTAGCCAGCACTCCTAATGGCCCTGGTAGGGTGGTCCTCAGGCTATGATAAAAACTGGGCCACATCTGCATGGGATCTAGCCTCTCCCAGGCTGAGCAGTGTTTTTCTATGTCCTTGTCTAGCCTCTCGGCCTCTTCTATTCTAAACAATTCGACCCAACTTCATACCATGGTGATGCCCTAAGATAAATTTATTTACTTACTTTTGTGAGACAGAGTGTCACTCTGTTACCTAGGCTGGAGTGCAGTGGCGCCATCTCAGGTTACTGCAACCTCTGCCTCCTGGGTTTAAGGGATTCTCTGGTGCCTCAGTCACCCTTGAGTAGCTGGGATTAAAGGCATATACCACCACACCCAGCTAATTTTTTTTTTTCTTTTTTTTTTTGAGACGGAGTCTCGCTCTGTCACCCAGGCTGGATGCAGTGATGTGATCTTGGCTCACTGCAACCTCCACCGCCCGGGTTCAAGCGATTCTTCTGCCTCAGCCTCCCGCGTAGCTGGGACTACAGGCATGCCACCACACCCGGCTAATTTTTGTATTATTAGTAGAGATGGGGTTTCACCATATTGGCCAGGCTGGTCTCAAACTCCTGACCTCATGATCCGCCTGCCTCAGCCTCTGAAAGTGTTGGGATTACAGGCGTGAGCCACGTGCCTGGCCAAATTTTTTTTTATTTTTAATAGAGATGGCGTTTCACCATGTTGGCCAGGCTGGTCTTGAACTTCTGGCCTCAAGTGATCTGCCCACCTCAGTCTCCTGCTCCCAAAGTGCTGGGATTACAGGCATGAGCCACCACGCTCAGATTGTTTCTTATTTCATTAAATAATTTAAAAACAAAACAAAACAAAAAAGCCCAGGTGCAGTGGTTCACACCTGCAATCCCAGCACTTTGGGAGGCAGGAGGATTGCTTGAGCTCAGGAGTTCGAGACCAGCCTGGGTAACTTGGCAAGACTCTGTCTCTACCAAAAAATACAAAAGCTAACCTGGTGTGGTGGCACATGCCTGTGGTCCCAACTACTTGGGATCCTTAAGTGGGAGGATGGCTTGAGCCCAGGAGACAGACGTTGCAGTGAGCTGAGATCACGCCACTGCACTACAGCCTAGGTGACAGAGTGAGATCCTGTCTCAAAAAAAAAGAAATGTGGGGCCAGGAGTGATGGCTCATGCCAGTAATCCCAGCACTTTGGGAGGCCGAGGCAGGTGGATCACTTGAAGCCAGGTGTTCGAGACCAGCCTGGCCAACATTGTGAGACCTCATCTCTACAAAAAAATTTAACAATTCGCCAAGCATGGTGGTGCATGCCTGTAGTCCCAGCTACTCGGGAGGCTGAGGCGGAAGGATCACTTGAGCATGGGAGGTTGAGGCTGTAGTGAGCCAGGATCGCACCACTGCACTCCAGCCTGGGTGACAGAGCAAGCCCTTGTCTCGAACAAAAAGGAATTCAGGAGCAAACACTCCAATTCCTGCCCCTACGTGGCCCTACAAGGTCATCTGCCTGTATGCCTCACTCCTCCCTTGTCCTCTGATGACTAATAGCATCCCCTGGACTCCTGATCTATCCTCATCTTCTATTCCTGGAAGCAGGAGCATGTTCCCTGTGATACTCCCTCATTTTCACCCTCTCCCTCTTCGAGGGTTACTTTCCCACAACTTGTAACTCTGCTCAAGCCTCTGTGTTTAGGAAACCTTCCCTCAGATCTGTGTTTCCAACTAGTTGCTGCTTTAGCTTCTTCCCTCCCTACATTTCCTGACTCTGCTTCCTCTTCATTTTTAGTCTTTGGGCCTAACCACCACCAGCAAAAATCCTGTAGCAGAGGTCACCAAGAGCTTCCCAATTGCCAGTCTTATGAATGAACTCTTCAATTCCTCATCTGAATGATTTTTGTTTTGTTTTGTTTTTGAGATAGAGGCTTTCTCTGCTGCCCAGGCTGGAGTGCAATGGCACGATCTCAGCTCACTACAACCTCCACCTCCCAGGTTCAAGCGATTCTCCTGCCTCAGCCTCCTGAGTAGCTGTGATTACAGGCGCACGCCACCACACCTGGCTAATTTTTGTATTTTTAGTAGAGATGGGGGGGTTTCACCATGTTGGTCAGGGTGGTCCCGAACTCCTGACCTTGTGATCCGCCCAACTTCGGCCTCCCAAAGTGCTGGGATTACAGGCGTGAGCCACTGTGCCTGGCCTTCAATTCCTCATCTGAATGATTTTATTGGAATTCTAGACAGCTACTAACTCTTTTCTTCTTGAGAAGTTCTCCTCTCTTGGCTTCAGAAACATTGACCTTTTCTGAGATTCCCCTACCTCAGAGGCTATTCTTTCTTAGTATTCTTTGGGGGTTCATCTTCCTGTACTCATCCTTTAAATGTGTTCCCTGAGTTTCTGTCCTCACTATATTCTCCTCACTCCTTACATACCACACATTCACTAGGTGACTTTAACCACTCTGAGCATTTCAACTGCCCTCTATATCCTTAATCGCTCCCTAAATCTATTTCTGATAAAGTATAACCCACCTCTTCCTCTGATAGCCCTCTGTAAACCACGAGACATTCTACAGCATTGATCTCTGTGCATATCTGCCTCCCTCTATTAGACTAAAAGGGCAGGCCTAGCGCTTGCTGTCTTTCCAGTATCCAGGACAATACCTGGTAGATAACAGGAGCACCACAAATATTTAATAAATAAATAAAAGTCAACATACTCAGCATTTATATTTCAAGTTACCTTGTTTTCCTTTACAGAAAGTCTGAGCGGTAATTTCAGATGAAGAATTTCATTCTTTTTCAGGCTTTCATAACCAGCAACAAAGACTCCTGGAAAAAGAAGCAGAGGTAGCTGTGACAAATTGTTAGGAAGATTGCAGACCATGGATAGGTCTATAAACGCCACCCAATCCCCCAAAGTAAGGATAAATTCCTTCAGTGTGCAGCCTTGTATGGAGGAATTGAGTATCTGGTTTTCTTTTTTTTTCAGACAAGGTCTCGCCGGGTCAGCCAGGCTGGAGTGCAGTGGTCTGATCACAGCTCACTGCAGCCTCAACCTCCCAGGCTCAAGTGATCCTCCCATCACAGCCTTCGGAGTAGCTGAAATTATAGGCGTGGGCCACCATGCTCGGCTAATTTTTGTAATTTTTGTAGAGACAGGGTTTCCTTGCTCAGGTTGGTCTCAAACTCCTGGAATCAAGCAGTCTGCCCGCTGCCTCAGCCTCCCGAAGTGCCCAGCCTGAAGATTTTTTTTTTTTTTTTCAGACAGTCTCACTGTTAGCCACACTGGAATGCAGTGTCATGATCTTGGCTCACTGCAACCTCCACCTCCTGGGTTCAAGTGATTCTCCTGCCTCAGCCTCCCCAGTAGCTGGTGGTGCACAGGTGTGCACCACCTCGCCCAGCTAATTTTTGTATTTTTAGTAGAGACGGGGTTTCACCATGTTGGCCAGACTGGTCTCGATCTCCTGACCTCAGGTGATCTGCCCACCTCGGCCTCCCAAAATGCTGGGATTACAGGCGTGAACCACTGCTCCCGGTCAAAGATCTTAATAAAAGGAATATTAGTGCTGATGGGGCATCAAATTGCTACAAGTGACTCTCAGGTGCCCAGAAGAGTGGGTTGGGTCCCTCTAGGCTTAGCTCCTGAAACCCAGCTCAGGAGTGAAATTCCCTCTCCTTCAGGGCCAGGAAGGTATACCACCTTTGTCATCAATCCATTCAAGGACTCGAGTGGCTCCTGAGAGGTCGAATGCATAGAAATCCTGGTACCTGCACAAAAGGGACATAAAATCACACGATGCACAGCACTTCACAGCTCAGATAACTCCAAGATGGCAGCCGCATGGTTCAGTGGCCCAAGCTCTGGAGTCGGGAAGACGTGGGACCGAGTTTGCTTCGCATTTTACTCCCTGTTTCTGGGACCAGGCCAGTCTGTTGATGTCCCTGAGCCTCTGTCCTCATGTGTGGACCTCCCTGGGTACCCAGATTTCCCAAGGTTGACATGAGGAATCAATGAGGTCATCTGTGTTCTGAGCTGAACTCAGAACTGAACTCCCAAGGTTGACATGAGAATCAATGAGGTCATTTGTGTTCTGACCTGAACTCAGAGGCTGGCGCAAACTAACTGGGCACTGCTTCTTCACAAGCTAGGCTCTTACTAGTAATCTCACAACACGCGCACGCAGGAAGGAGCCATTTCCTAAAGATGGGGGCCTAGGCCTAGGCGGAGTCCTCCGTCGCCGAGAGCCCCGAGGCCACAGCTGGCCCACTGTGCACCAGGATCTCCAACGTGCCTCCACCTGCACCCATCCGCCCGCCAGGCCAGATTCGGACCCAGCTCCCGTCTCCCAGCCCCGCATGATTTACAAGCGCAAGGATTCCACCAGCCAGTCCTCCTCAGGATCCATAGCAACGGCCGCTTCCGGCGTCTCACTTCCGCTTCAGAGCCTTCGGGGCCGCGCGGCTCTCGCGACATGTGGGCAGGGCCTCCCGTTAAGGGCGGGGTCAAGAGGCAGAGCTGCGCCCCACCCTGGGTGAGTTACGGGTTTTCTTTGCGAAAGCTGCGGGAAAGTAACCTGAAATCGGGACTTCCCGGCTGTCAGCTTCGAGCAGGCCTTGAGGACCAAATGATCGCCCGTTTTAGGGCCGGGTGTTTGCAGCCCAAGAGAGGGGCAATCAGTGCTCAAAGACCAGAAATAATACAGGACCGCCCGGTTAAATTCGAATTTCAGAAAAACGGTGAATAATTTTTTTCCTACGAGTATGTTCATGCAATATTTGGTACATTTTATTAGATAAAATTAATGTTTATCTGAAATTCGAATTTAACTGGGTGTCCAGTATTTTTATTTGCTAACGCTGGCAACCCTACTGACGGCCAGAGAAGAGAATAGGCGGCCGGCAGGGTCTGGATCCCAACTCGGCGCTCCGCTCCAAGTCCGGCGGGAAGATTGAGTCAAGTCCGGCAGTGTAGTGTCTGCAGCCCCCTTTTACTAGCAAAGAAACTAGTGACACTTGCCTGCGGCAGTGGGTGGCAGAGGTGAGAGTAGAACCCGGCGCCTGGCACGAAACCTGGCATACAACAGGCGTTATTTGCTTGCTGAATGAGTGGACGAGTAGGAGTCCAGAGTCAGTGGCAGGCTGGTGCCATGGCATGGAGTATTGTGGACTTTTTGGAGCCAGCCCCATCTCACTGAACACTCTGCCAGCCCCCATTCCCTCCTAGCCCCTAAAAGATGGGTAGAAGGAGAGGACCAGGCATTGTATGTAAAGAGCAAGGTTTTATTCACAAATTCAACATGGAAGCAGGAAATACAGCAGGAACATAATCTGTGTCTGCATCAGCGATATTTCTGGTGACCCAACCAGAAATCACAGTAATGGAGTAACAGATATTGGGCTCAGGATTTACATCCAGATGGGGCCATCACCAGGGTCCCATTCAGCACCTTCCCTGGGTGGGCACAATCTAAGCCACGCTGTTGTGTCTGTCCCATTATTGGTATCATTTGTGCAGTATTTGTACCAGCAGCCTCCTGTACTGAAGAGAAACATACAGAAGAATTGAGTCAGGGAGGGGCTTCTGATAATGATAGGGGCATCCTGCCATTCCTAAGTGCCAGACGTCTGCAGAGGTGGGCACCGGCAGGCTGTCGGCTGAGGCAGAGCACCCTGAATTGCCTTGGAGGGGTCAAGGGCAATAGTTTTCTCAGAACACAGCCCCAACCACCCAGGGTTGTCATGACAGTCAAAGGAGATCATGGAAGTAAATTCAAGTACAGTGCCTGCTGCTGGGCTAGTGTCAGTGTCCTCACTCCCCCACCCCAACTCTGCCCCAGACCTCACTCGGAAGCCCCAGACCTAGGCACTGCTGCTTCTGAGATTCTCTAGTTGGTCTGCATGTGTCCGAGCTTCAAAACCAAGGGCACTAGAGGTGGTATTGTTTCCCTTCAGATTCAGCCAGCCCAAGCTCCTAGGCCTTACATCCGAGGTCCTTAGTGGCTGCTGGTTCTATGCCTCAGGAAGTCAGGGATGTCCGCTGAGGCTGGGTTGGACCTTTTCTAGGGAATGCCTCTCCCTTCAAAATGCACACACTATATTGTAGGCACAGTGGGGGATATGAAGGCAAATCTACAACAGGTGCTGCCAGGGAGCTCACAGACTGGTAAGAGCTCCTATCTACTAAGGGCTGCCTATGAGCCAGGCACCGTGCTGAGCATTTGACATAAATGGTCTCATTTAATGGGAGATGGGCCGTATTATTATCTTCATTTTGTGGGTGAGGAATATGAGGCTTTAGAGAAGTTAAGGGACATTTATAAGGTCACAGAGCTACGAAGTAGCTAGGTTATGAGCCCAGCACATTGTAGTCAGAACCCACATTCTACCACATCACACTGCCTTCTGCACACAGCAGCAGGGCCAGGGAGGGTGGTATGCAGTAAGGACAGCACCAGGGGCAGGGAATGGAGGAGTTGCCACTCAGCTGCGCTAGACCTTAAGGCTGGTTTGGCTCTCCAGCTTTGGAGCCTTGAATCCCATAGATCAGTGATTGACAACCAATAATGATTTGGGGCCGTCTCCCCCAGCAGACATCTGGTGATGTCTGGAGGTCTTTTCAGTTGTCACAACTTGATGAGGGGAGGAAGGTGCTACTGGCATCTAGTGGGTAGATACCAGGGATGCCACTAAACATCCCATGATGCACAGGTCAGCCCTCACAAGAAAGAATGATCCAGCCTAGAATGTCAAACGCACTGAAGTTGCTAAACCCTGCCACTGGATGCTGAGGCAGATGAGAGAATGGGAAGAGCTCTGGTCAAGGTGAACAAGGTCCAGACTCTGTCTTGGCTACTGACTTCTCTTTCTCTCTCTGGGCCTCAGGGTCCCAGTTCGGCCACAAGCACACACAGGGCACGGCAAAGGTGGACTTGACTAATGCAGCGGGGAACAGCACGGGTGGGACAAGACTGTGTGGACTGAGGGAGAAAGGTCCTTCTCCAAAAGGCTGATGATCCCAGTCTGTTACTTTAGACTGGGTGATGAGTCAGGGGAACTTCTTTCCCTACTTCTTGCCCCATGGGGTCTGCCAGGAAGGTCAACTTACTTTCTTTGGACTGTTCCTCCTTTGAGCTCTGCCTCAAGAGGGAAAAGCCTGGAACCCTGGCTTTCTGGGGTCTACACCCATAATGTCCTGGTCAGACAGTCACACCCTAATACAGTACTGGGTGGTAATTCCTCCCATGCAGGATCCAGGGATGGCCCCAGCTGGGCCCTCCTGACACTGGAGTGGGGGCTGGCTCACCTAGATGTGGGCTGCGGGGTGGCTGAGGCTCACGCCCAGAGCCTTCTTTAGCAGGAGGATCCTGAGCAGATCATGACTCAGCTGCAGTCTCTGGTCCCTCAGGGAGGTGTGGGGAGCTGTCCCCAATGGGGATGGGCTGGGAGGCTCCAGACTCTTCTTGCCCATGAAGTGACCTAGAAAGGAGGTGTCCGGCACAAGGAAGTCAAGCAGGGAGGATCCTACCTCAGGGGGAAAGTTCCTCATCTCTCCCACCTTTCCATTGTTGTGGCAGGAAGATACTTAACCTTCCTGTTCTTGGTCTTTCCACCTCACCAAGGAGCCACAAAGGTGTCTGGGTGGTGGCAAAGCCTGCTCCCTCAGCTTTTCCTGAACAGGTAGAGAGGATGACACAGCTGGAAGGAGGGTGGAATGGTTCAGGGTCAGGGAGAAACTCTGCTACTTGTGTGGCCTGCTTGGGCAAGGGAGGAGAAAGGGCAGGGTAGGAAGTGGAGAGTGAAGCCAGGTGCCTGGAAAGTGGAGGTGCAGCAAAACCACATCAGCGGTTAGAAGATTCGGTAAAGTCTTGCCTAAAGTAAGGGGCACCGGCTGGCAGTGGGATTTAGGATCTAGCCCAGCCCTGTCTTAAACTGGCTGCGCGACCTTAGCCAAGTCACTGACCTGTCCAGGTCTCAAGTTCACATCTATTAAATTAGATGAGCCCCAGGGTTTCCCACCTGCTCCGACACTAGTGTCCGTGGCTGAGGACAGGCCAGAGGGTTGAGAAGGAAATGGGATCTGAGCAGGATGAGGGGCACTTGCTTGCCCGGTCCGCGAAGACTTACCGGTGGCCCAGAGGTTGCCCCGCGGGTGCACTCGGATCTTGCCGGCTCGGTTGCGGGGCTCCGGGAGATCCCAGCTGAGCGGGGCGACGTCGGCAGCGAGCAGGGCAAAGAGCAGTAGGCTGCTGAGCAGCCGAGCACCCCCCACCCGCCGGGCCATGGCTGTGCCAGGGCAGCAGCTCCGTTCCGGCGCGCTTCCCGGCCGCTCGGCTCCCGGGCTGCCTTCCCTCCTTTTAAACCCGCGCCCCTGGGGGCGGAGCCTGCCCTGAGCAGCCAAGCCGTGCTGCGTGCCCGCCGCCCTCCCCACCCTCACGCTAGGTTACCGGGCAGGGGCACCCCTTTTGGGTCGCCCATAGACCTGCACACCCACACTCTGAACCGCACGCAGGCACCGCTTCCGCCAGGGGCTTCTGGCTGAAGCCCACCACCTTCAGGCTAAGGACCGGGCACAAGGCACCGGGCAAGCAGGAGCCTGGCCCCGGCGGCAAAGCTGCTTCCCCTGGCCCTGCCTTGCCACTGTCCCACGGCTTTCTCAGCCCTCTGAGCCTCTCTTCATGAGGGTAGAGGTCGGGCGAGGAGTTCTCCTCCCGGGTAGCAGCCTTTTTTTTTTCTTTTCTTTTTCTTTTTTCTGAGACAGGATCTGGCAGTATCGTGCACGTTGGAGTGCAGTGGCGCGATCACGGTTGACTGCAAACTCAACCTCCAGGGCTGGGCTCAAGCCTCAGCCTCCCCAGAAGCTGGGACCACAGGCACACGCCTTCATGCCTGGCTTCCCGCCCCCCGCCCCCGAGAGACTGGGTGTCGCTAGGTTGCCCAGGCTAACAGAGGCATTTTTACAGTGTCCAGCCAAGTGCTAGGCACCAAAGGACTTCCATAAACTAATCCCCATCACCTCCGCCCATTGGGGGAATCTGATCCGTGTTCACCTTGCTGTCTGCCCTCTCACAGCCAGCACCACAGTCTGGCAATGTTCTGGTACACAGTAAGTGCTCAGGATGGGAATGCAGACTGATGGGAGGGTGGGACAAAGGGCCGCTTCTGAGGAATGGGCATCCAGCTGCAGGGCCTGGCTTATGGGCAGAAGCCGACCTCTGGGTCAAGGAAGTGGAAAGAGCACTGCACCCAAGACTGCACTGCACCCAGGAGTCCATGTACAAGCTGTGGCCCGGCTGAACCTCACTTTCTTCAACTGTAAAATGGTAATAACCACACTGCCCTAATTTTTTTTACATGTTTTAGCATACCTACTCTGTGGCAGGAAGCAACAATCCTGTAGGACCTGCCCTCTCACATCTGACACTTTGTTCTCCCCAGGAG